CCCCTCAAGAGTTCTAAAGGAAATCCTAATGGCAAAATTAAATATTTCCAATACTTTTAGTGTTATCGCTGATTTCGAGATTTCATTTTGTGAAGTTAGCATCCCCAAGTTTCAAATTTAACTTTTTTAGGTTAATTCGCCAGAACTATTTTTAAAATTGATAAGGAACTCTAGAACTCTTCGGGATGCATTCAGAACTGAAAAAAAAATTTTTTTGAGACATAACGTGCCAACTTCACAGAGGTCATGATCGAAGTTGATTTTCGGCTTTTCTGCATATGTAGAGGAAAGTCCCCTATTTCGAGACAGGTTTCTAATATGAGACAGCGGATTTTCTATCAAATCAATAGGCATCGTTCGTTCATTCCTATATAATTTGTTATAATTTGTTAAATGTCAGTTACGATAGTTGGTCTATCAGGTACAGAAATAACGTCTGAGGAATGTTATTACGTATTCAAGCTTCATCTAGTCTATAAAAAATCTTTTGGAAAAATATAAAAATGCCACGAAAGCTTGTAAAGTCTGAATAACATGTAAATAACTATATAGTAAATAACTGATATCGTAACAGAACGTTGAATGTTGCTTTCAATTTGGTGTTACTCGTAGTTACCACACCGTCACTGTCACCCGACGCGTGTTTCCATCTCGCAGATTTACATAAGTGACTTATGGTCAGCGAGTATTACCCCCATGGCAGACAGGGTCGTTCAGTCGTATCTTTGATGCGACGTACGCGCGGGGATTCAAATGAGGGACGGTCGTTATGGGACCCGGTGTGAAATATCACGCGAAAGTATCTGGTTTCGTTATTCGCGGATATTCGCACGTGATGTTTGCAAAAGACTAAGCGATCCGATTTTCTCTCTGTTTCCCAACGGCTTCTATTCCTGCCGGTATTCCTATCTGTCGCATATAATTTGCGATTATTACATTTACGAACATTTGGAAATTTTGTGGCCATCAGCCTTTTATTCTCGTCTGTCAAAATCGCGGTTTTCACTAACAAGACGGCGCAACTTAATTATTGTAGAAATGAAGCGATGAAAAATTCAACAAACCGCGACATTATAGCTGAATATACTGTATCCCTACCGGCGATAATAATCGGATTTCGATGTTACGTTAACCGTTCGATTAATTAACTCGACAATACTTCCCTAATAGAGTGGTCGCGGCATTCGATTAACCATCGAAATTATATCCATTAAATGGAGAAAATCCATTTCCGTACCACTACGTACTTGGTATCCCCGCGTACTTGCCGAATTAGCCCACCGTTTGCAAGTAATATTATTCCCGTGCAGATAACGCTTCCAGGTTCGTCGTGAAGATTAAATAACGCGAGGCCAGCGAAATTTTCGCAGCGATGTACGTATAACGATGTGACACCCGATCGTCGATTAAATTTGGGGATTACATGTCGCCAAAGTGAATGTAATAACGTAACACGATACGTGACATGCGCGCGTATATATGCTATGCAATCATAATTACATCCGCGTGTGTTGCCGATTTTTCACATGTAATTAGCTGTCATCAATTAACGCTTACGCGATATTATTCTAAACGGGGATTCGTATCGTACGCCGACTCGTCTGGCAGCGACAAGGAAGAGTACACTGAGAAAAATGTCCGATTAAATATAATCGGATAATCCAATTACATAATAACAAACGGATATATCTAATTAAATTGTATATCCGATGAAAACTGTGATCGGTTTTTCATATCAAATTTCATCGGATAAATTTCATCGGATGTATCCATAATTTAATCGGAAAACGTAATCGTAAAATTTAACCATCGGTAACACTATTTAATGGGTTTACCCAATGAAAATTTGTCTCAGTGTAGGTTTTTTTTCCACACAAATATGGATTTCACGCGAATAAGTCTCAACAATTTTTTCAGCATTTTACTTTATCCGCAAATAATTTGAATTTTTCTCTGGCGAGAATTTCGGAGAGAAAATTATCAATTCCGACTTGGTCGAGAAATTCGTGCGCAAAGAGAAATGTCACGAGAAGTCTCCGCGATGCTCCGCAATATGTACAGGGACCACATGAATAATCGTTAATTAATTCCAAGCACGGCGCGAGCAAAACGACCCGTCGGCGAAAAAGCACACCCGCCTTATATTCCCGATTTTTTATCCGCATATCTAACGAGCATAATAAATACGCGGCGGTTACCATTCGGTGATGCGAAGTGCATAGCAACGAGAGCGAGCATTTTTTTTCCCTCCTTCCGCCGCACTGTCCCGTCCGGGCGCGAGCGTTTTATCTGACGCAGAAGCGTTCTCTATCATGAGCGGAACGTTTTATCAGATAAAGTCGTGCTATCGGTCTCGGTAGATAAGGGAACGGTGACAGACTTGACGATGACACACGGTGCCCGTGCTTTCGGAAGTGTACGTGTCACTCTGGCTATTTTTTCTCCGTTCCCTCGATCGCGCGCGTAATTCCTGCCTCTATTTCCGTCTCGAGTGGAAGATAGCTAAATAAAGTAAGTAGCATATTCGTTATCAACAATAATCCAACGACTCAGAAAAAATCGTTGAATTATACAGTAAAAGTATTTGATAGGCATAAAATATTTTAAAAAATGCGATGTCCAAAAAAAGTTGAAGAAATCTGTGATTATCAAGATTTGCCTTAAATACGAAATTAACTGTCCAAAATAAACGTTTATGAAGACCATTGAGTCGCGTTTAGTACGTGTGCGCGAATGTTAATCAAATGGCGGAGAATCAGCAATGTTGTCATCGTGATCGTTATCAGGTACAAAATCCAAAACGCACACGCACCTGATCAAATAATCACAGCTCGTATCTCCGAACCGGACGGACATTTCGCGCCGCGCATTCGTTCTAATCCCGTTTGCACTTTGGCCGTAACCCTCGTTTGCCTTTCTTAAGTCCTCCATTATTCTGTATTGAATTGCACATAAATCTTGATAGCGAAAAGGAGCGACTCTGGGTCGCGCTCCCGCGCGAGTAAGAGAGCACGGAGTAATTTCTCTTCATCTTCCCGCGATAGGAGCAGAGCGAACGGCGGGCTTTCCTTTGGCTTTGCTTGTACTCCGCTGGAGTAGATTCGTCTCAATCTCGGCCCGAAAGACCGATAAGAAGGACAACCGAAGGACCGTGGCACTAAATAACCGTTCTCGCGGATAAGTCATGGATACTCTATATCCGACTCTGAGAGATCTGCGCTTCAAGTCGGAAGGCCTCTGTCCCATCTGCCTCATGGAGATGGAGCTGACGCCCAGATACTCGTGCATCAACGGGCACACCGTGTGCCACCGTTGCAAGTCCTATTACCAGGGCTGTCTCACGTGCGGAGCGGCGTTGGACGTGGAGACCCTGCCGCCGTCGGACGTGGAGATCCTGCTGCCGCATCCCATGCTGCCGCATCCCATGCCACCGCGCAGCTACGGCGATCACAGTCCCAGCGCGCCGTCGATGAACGACTTCCTGGGCCACGAGAAAAGAGCCTGGGAACCGCCTGTGCCGTCTGGGAATCAGCATCTCGAATCTTGCTCGTACTCTCATCTGGGATGCCGGGTGAAGATACCGGAGCAGCTGCGGGTGCTTCACGAATCGAGGTACAACGAAGACTCCTTACTGTCGCCATCAATTCGTCATCTTTGTTTGTCATGAACCGTGCGTTCGTCATATGCGTTCATTAATACTGATGTTGAAATTATAACTTTAGATGCCAGTTTCGACCGCGCGCGGAGGAAGAACATGTATCCATCGATCTTCGCCACGATGATTTGGTAGAGTGTTCGTACTCTGCAGCAGGATGCAGGGTACGAACGATGCCGTGGCGACGCGGCATTCACGAGGAGAAGTGTATCTACAGGGACCGGTTCCAGGGTGTAAACGATATCAGCGACGCTCTCGCGTCCGCGACGATCGCCGATAACGGCGGCGATCCCGAAGAACTGGTGCAGTGCAAGTTTAGGCGATATGGCTGCATGGTGAACGTGCCGAGGAGGCGGAAGTACATGCACGAGCAGAAATGCAACTACAGCAGCTATCAAGGGGACGAAGAGTTCAGTTATCCCTCGCAGCCGGAACTGGATCCCGACGAGCAAGTAGAATGCAGATGGTCTGAACTCGGCTGCCGCGTTAGACCGAAGCGTTGCCGTAAGCAAATTCACGAGGATAAATGTAACTACCGGATGGAAGAGTGCATGTGGAAGCATTATGGATGCAGCGCCCTATTTAATCCAACGTTAAGACATTCCCACGAGAACAACTGCGATTTTGCCCAACATTAATTATACCGAGTTAGACTAATTCGAGCGAACTACGATTGTCGCGTGCAATACGCGCGTATTTATCAGGGTGACGGCAAAGTTTCTTTTTATTATGACTGGCTTTTGAAAAACGTTGACCAATGTGCGCAGCGCATCGATCTCCGTAGCGCCTAGCAGGAAAACATACAAATTGATTGTTTCACCTTGTAATCATTGAATTAAACGGGATACCAGCGGGAAATGCACATAGCTCCCTTCTCTAGCGTCAAACGAGTAATTAAAGTGTCGATGCCTGTACATCGAACAGAGCCGGCAATTTTATTAATCGGTAACAAGCCGCGAGCCGGGCTCGTCGAGATAACAACAATTAGCAAGTAACAAAGCGAACGGTGATTGTCGGTGGCGTCGAGACGCGGGGCGATTTTGCAGAACGCATTAACGGCGATTTCCAAGAACCCGTGGGGATAATACAGAAGAGGATTATTTACTCTCTCTCGCGCCACTCTCCGTCCCGCTCTCGCGCGAGATAGCGAGACTTCCGCCCGTCGTTCCGGGGATCATCTTGAGCATGATCGCCCGGAATGAGGGAGTGATGGCGTGGCTGGGATATCCAACACCTGCAGGCTAATGGTGGGTCTCCCTGTGCGCCCACGACCGCGCCGTTGCTCGGCGAAACGACACTTACACGCTTATAACGTTCCATTTATAACGCCGGCGTGAGTAAACGATGGACGTGCAACTCTGTCTCGATGCGCTATTACGGATAATATCACGATGTCTCGAAGCATTGGGTCTCGAAGTCAATAAAACAGCTTGGTATCGAGAACAAGTTGAACAATTGCGCTCATTTTTATTCTGAATTGTCACGAATCGTTGAAAAAGTTATGTGAATTTTTATAGGTGATTTGCGGCGGTTTTGAAAATTGTTAACGAGCTTGAAGGAAATCAATTTACGTTGCATTATTATATAATGCGCATTTACGGAAGTGTTGAGAAACCAGCGAAGCTTCGCGGAGACGCAAACGAAGGTTGAAATCTATTTCTTGCCTCATGAAAATCTGAGACGGTCCCATGGGTGAGGTACGCCTTCGTTCCTACTAAATAAATATCGAGCGCGTCGTATCGCGCAGAAATTCTTGTCCGTCCGTAACGCGATCGGTCCGTGATCTCGTTCGGTCAGAACTTTAACGTTCGGCGGTGGCCCTTCGGACAAAGGGATGTAGGGACTGTTTTACATGGTAAAGACCAAGAAGGACCTCCACCTCTGACCAGCGGATGCCTTAAAGAGGATGCCGCGCCAAACCCAGGTTCATAATCGTACCAAAAAGAGAATGCCGCCTCGAATTACGTCCGGAAACAATCGGATTCTCATTCAAGACAATGCCTACCCCACGACCGCTACCCTTTGCTCCCTCTAATTGTATTTCGGGTTATTCCCTGATTTTTAATTAACCGATTTACAAAGAGGTTGCGCGCTTTAAAGAAGATACTTTATTCTAACTGATCTCGCATTTCGGAACATCTGCCACTCTGATTCATGCACATAAATTTGTTTTGCGCGATTGTATATCAGAAACATTTAACTTTGCTTAGTTTCTATTATTTAAAGCAATCTCATTTTTTTTTATAACAGGCACGACAGAATCGAAAAACGTATTGAAGTCGTAAGAAAGATGCGTCCGCTCTCCACTCAAATAAATTAGAAAATCGTGACATCGCATTAATATACATATTCGTTATTTCTATGTAAAACAGCGACGCGAGAAGAAAGCTGATAGCGGATAAGGAGCGATTATTAGTCAAAAGTTAATGGGCTTTTTCTTCATTAAAACCTCTCTCTCGCATAAATTAATAAGCTGATCAGCGTTAGATGATGTAAAATAAAACGGCGGCTCGTCGCCGAGTATTTAAGAAGCTCCTGGGCGGGATGGATGCAGACACGACAAGCTAAAACCGGCTGCTTCGTGGGATTGAGTGAAGGGATGAAAGGAGGAGATGCGAGTAAATTGCACCCCTGGGGACGAGCCTGACGAGTGGCGCGAAAGACGCAACAAGCCAGAAGTCAGCAAACTTTAATTAAGACAACGTTGCAGACTAGATGTTTTCACGAGACTTTACGTAAGAACTCAGACTTGCGACATTTTTTTTGTTAGCTGTGAATTTGTAAAGTCACTTCGTACGAACGAAACGATAGAGGCCTAACAGTACTATATGAACGAGAGCTTCCAAATTTTTGCCAATTCCTGTCTCATGCACTTTACATGGTTTCGTATGATTTTATTGCCCAGTTTGATATCAAGCATTTCTCACGGAAAACATGAAGAATTATCGTCTATCTCAAATTTTTGATCTTCAATATTAGATACTTTTGTCACCAATTCTCAGGTATTACAAAGCTGCTCAAGAAAAAGAGACAGTAAGGTCGATTTAACGAGGAAGAACATTTTATTACTGTGTTTGCCAGGCTTTTAGCTTCGTTCCCGGCAAACCTTTTTAACCGCACAGTTTTAACGGTCCTTCATTGTTCTCGTTGAAAAGAATCGACTTCAGCTCGGTTACAGAATTAGATAAACGGTTCGGCAGGGTACAGGAGGTTCCGGAACATCTCCCGTATTACAGCGATAGCACGGCATCAGGGAATATCGAGATCTGATGATCTCGTGACCTCTCGAGAGGCGTCTCGATCTAGCACGGTCGTAGATCATCGGCGTCCCGTGTGTATGGCATACCGATTCGATAGCGCAGAGGGTTCGGGCAGACCGGGTTCCCACGTAAATACCTCACGCCAAAAAATGACGACGTACCTCTCGACTGCCGCGTGCGTATTGCGCGGCACGCGAGCTCCATAATTCACGCTAGCGTTGCACGCGGGCCGCGAGGGAAAGCCGACCGGTCGTATCTCAATTTCGTCAGGATATAGCTACACCGGGACGTCGATGTAACGAACAAATCCGCGTAACCGTTTCTGATCGGAGCATCTGATCGCGCGGCACGTACGCGATTATCGCCGGGGCGAACTCGAGAGATAAAGATTTGCGGCGAGTAAACACACACACATCCATCATTGAGACGGAAATCCGACATGGGAATTGCAGTGCCGGAACACGAGCGGAAGGGAGATTATGTTATGTAATATTAAAAATTTCGCTCGTAGCTAACAAACTAAATAAAAGTGAAGCGGTTAAGATCAATACGTTGCGTCGCGTACTAAAATCAGAGCTAAGTAAAATCGTTGTCGTATATTTATTCGCGAGCTGGGTAGTGTGGGAATAGATAATGAAGAGCGCGAGAGACGGAGTCACCGAGTTTAGAGTTGGATAAAGCTCACAGTATATTTATAACGGGATGTTAACTCTTAAAACAGATACAATATAGGTATACCTTGTGCTACTTGGCAAACAAAAAATATAATTGGCACGCGAAGCGAAAATAAATGATAGAGCTACCGACTGGCAACTGGCCACGATGTTCCGACTTTTTATTATCGTGCTTTTTGGAGATTTTAGAACATTTAGCACCAAAGCTCGATGCGTTTTTACGATCGTTATCAGCTATTTTACACGCTAAGATCTTGCAAACAAGTTTTGCTAATCCTCATTCTTTTGTTTCACGTGCTTATAAACAGTATTACCTATTATTTTTTTAAGAAAAATGCCACGAAAATCAAATGGTTTTCATATTTTAACAGCGAATTAATCACTAATGTGCATGATTAGCACTCATACTCTTAGAAGTTGGAAAAACAAATGTCAAACATTACTTGTTCTTTGAAGTTGCTTCGTTAGAATAATATGAAAGATTGTTAAAAATCGAGATAAGATATTTACAAGATAATATATTCGTTCTTATAGAAATTAAGAGTACTCGTCGCCGTGTAGCCGACAGCTTTTCAGCGAAACAATTATTAACAAGCAGAAGCGATCGTGAGAGAAACCTCGCGGAGCACTCGTCGACTAATAATTAACGCTGTGATATCTTATTTCGGCGCACGTCCGCGGAACAAACGATTTCTGTGTTCGGTGGCGGCGAACTTTTTCCCGCGGTATTAAAATTCTTAATACAACCCTTTTGCGCTAGGATGGGGATGAATGCGGGAGTACATTCATGACGGAAGACAGGCCGGGGAGGAAGAAGAGGTACGTCTCGAGGAAAAAGCGAATTTAATGAAACGAGAAAAACCCCGGTGAAGGTGTATTTGTAATGCAAATATCTGGCCGACGCTCCCGGAGGGACGGAAAAATGAAAGCGTCGAAACAGGCGGGTACGAAATCGAGCGTCCCATCGTTCTCGCTAATCCGATTTCGAATTCTTCGTCGTCCGCCCGCCCGCTCGCCCGCTCGCTCGGTCGAATCACGTTTCCCGACGCTGCGCAATCTTGGCAAAAAAAATCCTAATTTTCCCCTCCTTAATTACCTCGGGGATTCGGCGAAATCTCTGAAACCGCAGTACAAGGAAACGCAACTCGAATGTTTATTATCTAAAAGTTGAAGTTCGGTCCAACGCATATCTGTATCATCATTTTACGGCGGTTAAAATCGCCGTTCGGTGCTTGAAATGTCGTGGATGGACATTTGTGAAGGAGGACTGGAAAACTAGAGAGGATCGAAGGAATCATTATTTACCGAAAGTCGACTATTGTCCCCTTTCGGCAGACGCATTGTCGAATTAAGAGCTTTTGTCGCGGGGAAACGCCTGGGGGCGAGCAACACGCTCGTCTCTATTCGTTCCACGACAGGTCCGTCCGCTTCTCTTTCTCTATGGTTTTGACGTGCTCCTCCCTTGCCGCCGGTCGCGTCAAATGAAAGCACTTTTCCGCCGAATAGACAAAATAAATCGAGTCGCGCATGACAATGCCGATAATTTCGCAACAATACGCATACCCGCCCGGCGTCAGGCGCACGCACGAATAAATACGCGCTCGCAGGAAACGCGCGCGAAAAACGGACGGGTGGACGGTAGGGTTGAAACGCCCGTTACGCGTTTCTTTTCCAAACAACATAACGGCGGCACGTCAGGGTGAATCGGCGTGAGATAATACGTGCTGAAATGGTCCTCTCGCTGGCCATCGGCGTACTTTCTCTCCGAGACTTCGAAAAAGATATCGTTCCTCTAATGGAAGCTCATTTTGCACCGAATATATGAAAACACCGCAAAGAAACGGGAAAAATCTGCTTCAATATTATTACTTCAGTTTCTTTCATCACGCTCAGAATAAATCTGGGAAGTGTGTGTTGAGAAACTGACCGACGCCGAGAAGCGAGACGTGGAGAACTTTCTCAGTTAGGCTATTTGTTTACAAAAGAATAAGACTGACCAAGCGGAAGGGGCGATATGGCGCGATGATTTATCGGCGATAATTAAAGGGTCGAACGTCACCGCCGGCTGCGTGTCGATGACCAACGGCCGATGCGTGAGGCTCGTATTAATAGGGCGTTTTAATATCCACCGCAAACGCCACCCATCAATTCCGATCCGAAAAAATCCGTCGAACAAACGCGCGAAATTTCATCGGCGGCGCCATGCAAACCGATCCCCGAGGGCAAGTGAATTTGATTAGAAGAACGTAAGATGCACGGCGGCTCCTAGCAATTTTTATTCTCCTGTTTCTTCCGCCGGAAGAAACGTCTCGGCGTCGCGATTCGGATGGAAGAACTGCGTAAATGGAAACTCTTATTTTTCCGTTTAAGCTTCAACGCGATAGTGCTTACACATATGTAACTGCCTCCACAAGAACACTCGGAATCTATATCCCGCCTTCGCCGGCGGGTGCTCCCGAGTTCGCGAAAAGTATTGGAAGAAGTTGAATATGGTTACGATGATGCAGAA